TAAATCCTCGAAATGCGGCACCGATTGAAGTAGCAACACTTAGGCTCATACACTGCATTTCGTTTTAGAGTTCTGACCGAATAAAATAATGGCAACTTATGACTAACAGTATTTCATTTACTATTTGAAATATTTTATTATTTATTAATAACAATTATTTGGAATATTACGAGTTTCTTCCTGGATCTATATAGCCAATTACGTATTACAGTGTAAGTAGAAGTATATTGACACTGGACTAAAAATTTATTCTTACGGTCCTGGTCGAGGTTTCAAGTTCTCGAGCGCCCTTATTTTTGTCAGATTGTTCCGACACCCGAAACACGTTTACTTTGGTTCCTGATGACTTTTACGACGAGGCTATATCGTGACCCGGACTGTACCTACGAACCTACGAGCCTACACTCCCACCACAACCGTCGCTCCCCACTCCGCTTTAATGACTGTCGACGTCACTTGCCCCGAGCTTTGCCCACAGCACTGCCCGAGAGTAACGGAGGGTGCCCATGCCCGCAAAAGGTCTGCTTGAGCGGCTCTGGTCTATACAATTACAAAAAATGAAAATATTTATTAGTAAAATAAAAATACTGAGCAATAGAAAAAAAATTCTTTTTTAATAACGTGTAGGGTCTCCATTGTTCTCAACAAGTTTAAATATTCGATTTTGTATACTTCTACTCTGATTTTACTGTGTTATTTTAAAAATTTTTTTCATGCTATTGTAATTGCAAACAGAGCAAATGGAAAGTTTAACTAAATGCGGATAAAATAAGAAAGAAGCACCTATGCAGGCATATTAGATTAGTAACAGGTGTTTCCATATGAAGACAAAGAAGTAACTAGCGACTATACTTTAGGTATCACAAAACTGATGTTTTAGTGTAGCTAGCATGTTCTCTAAATCAAAATCAGATGAAAAATACATAAAGCATCATTATTTGAAAAGTTTATGTCAGTAGTCACTATTACCAAGGCATATCAGAACTGAAAAACTGCAACTATAGTATCATGAAATGAGAGACAAAAAGAAACAAAGCAAAATCAAATATTTGAATTTGCTGAGAAAGAGTCCATACATGTTATTAAGGTAATCTCACAATTTCATTTTATTATGTTCCTTTTTTGATACTGCTTTTACAGTTATGAAAGGTAGAAGTATCGTATGTTTATAACTATAAAATAATAAAACTTTAATGCAAATGTAGCAAATAATGTGTATTGGGTAAGTTTAGGCAAATTATTATTTGGATTTACAATGGTAGAAAGTAAATTACTTCCTAGAATTATCATGAAAATACAATGTCAATTTATTTGCACAAATTATTTTTACTCAAACTCTGTGATATCGTTTCTGTATCCATCTTTTATATTAAGTAATTTAGCTGACAATAATTATGTATTTTCTATCTATTAAAGTATTATCTAAGCATTATTTATTGTCAATATTGGCGATTATATAAGTACTCTATTAGTTCGTTAAAATAGAGCTTAATATACTCGTAGACACGCAATTCAGTTTAGAAACTAAAGAACATGTAAATAAAAATAATTGAAAATACATGGTCTTAAAACCTTTAAACATAAAGTATATATACTTTTGCTAAGATTTTTGTTTGGTTGTCTCACATCTTGAGCAACGTTTAAAATCCGCAAATGAGCAATGTTTGTCTCGATATGAAGACTTTATTAACTTACAATTTATCTAGAATTCGTGGGATCGTTCGTTCATTTATACCAGCGCTGGTCAGCGCATGCTGTCCCTTTCAATCTTTGTTTTCATGTCACATACCTGTGTCGTCATGGAAACCGCGATGTATAAGAAGCGTCTGTGACAGGCTAGTTTACCCTTCGTCAAGAAAGCTCAAACGCTACGAACAACGTACACTGATAATGAATCCACTTGATTTGTTTCACTCTAAAATAAACGCATGGTTTTCCTTTCTAGGTGTGATTCCATGTTAAACAAGGAATTTGTAAATACATATATTTCTCGCATATCGCTCGGCGCTTGACACGCCTAGGAAAAGAAACCATCTGCACTATGCATTTGGTTAATGCCAAACGAATCAAATGGGTATAATGTACATAAATGTACATTGTATGTACGTTCAGTGACATTGATGCGTTTCTTGACGCTGGCCTCCCATGACTGCACCTTAAGGCCCGATACACACTACCGTGCCGTTCCCGGTCCGTTCTCGATGCAATTGCCGATCGTGCGGCGCATCGGGACGACACCCGGTTGTCTTTGAAGCGCCATCTTGACTATAATTATGAAATGAAACTAATCAAATTTGGTATACTTATCGAGAAACGTTCAAGCAACAACATATATTTTTTTTAGATTTTTAGAAACGAGAGTAGGGATTCGTTTTTGCAAAACAAAAGTTTATTTACAATTTTCATATTGAAAAAGTGTGCGTACAACAAAATTAAAAATATTCTTAGAAAGTTTCATCTTCTGTGATGCGAATGAAAAAAAAAATAGACTACAACATATTACAGTTTCATCAAAATCGGAAGACATGCTGCCAGAAAGTGATCGAATTGGAGTGAAATGACTGGTGGTAAATCGAGAAACCCGTTCACACTGTGAGTTCAGTCCCGGTCTGGTCCGTTTACGCTTCAGCAAAATATTCTTTCTAAAGATAATTGCTGGGACGATACCGAACTGTGACCGGAGCGTTACCCGTAGTGAGAATGGGTACGTTCTAAACCACAGAAGAATATTTGACCGGACCGGGAACGGATCGGGAACGGACCGTGACCGGACAGGGAACGGATCGGGAACGGACCGTGACCGGACAGGGAACGGCACGCTACTGTGTATCGGGCCTTAGGTCTGGTACAGACGAACGATGCGAAATCGCAACGACACGACGTCGCGTCGCTCGTGTGCACCGGGCCTTAGTGTCACGTGATTTGCTTGACAACGCAGCAAGACTGAGGAAGCTAAACAGCTTACGAACCGCTCCTTAGACAGCGCTGATCTATACAGGGCCGTTAAAATCTAACACGTGTATAAATTGAAATTCAGTAACGCCACTCATACATTTACAATATTCCATTGAGAACCCTCTCACGTTGGTCACGTCGCAGTAACTATATCTCGTTGAATCTAATGCATATGTATATGTATGTCCTTGTTAAATCGAATAAAAGGAAGACTTATATTTTTTGTCTCCGTGAGAATTCAATTCTCAATAACTGCTCTGTTTTAAAGTTAATATTTATTATAAACGTTGATAAGTACCCAGCTTTATAAAGCAATTTATTACTACCATTATTACTACCCAAATTTTACTCTCTTTTAAACGATCGGGAACGTGCTTTAGAACTTTTCAACCAATGCTTATTAGAATGTTTCCTTGCCTTTTGTATTGGTACGTTCACATTCCCTATTGAATTACAATACCTTGATTCATAGAATAATAGTTGAAGATGTAGCGTTCAACTTGTATTACTTTAATTTAAATGATACAATCAACGAACCAACTGTTCGCTATTAATTCTAGAAAGGCAGGGGAAGGACTTTCTTTTAAGATAGATGTTTAATGATAAATTTTGATTTAGTGAGAACGCTAATTAAAACGAAAATAAGAAATAGCAGCGAGCAGTATTTATGCATGTACTTGTCGGTTTATGGCTTAATTTGCAGTCGGTATGTAACTTAATGTGCAAGGTATTTACCAAAAATTAACAAATTTTTAAAACTCTTTGTTTTAAGCATTAACACATTGCGATTAGAGAAGAATAAAGTGTAGAAAATTTTGTGTTGGTATGCGTTTTAAATTTGTTTCTAATATTATGATTCTTTGCTAGTGCGGTTAGGGGATGGCGGCACTAAGGTAGAACTGATATTCCCAGATATGAAAAATGATAAAAAATAGTGAAATTATGGATTCGTATATAAATTGGCATTTTATCGTCATTTTTTCAAACAATTTTTAAATAATCAAACAGTCCATGGAAATAAAAGAAATACTTTTAACGTGTCTTCCATAAGTTTTGCTCTGCATTTTATTTAATATCTCTGTATTTAATAAATGTTAATGCTATTATTTTTCATATTTATTTTTCCTTGAAGTTAAATATATTATACAGAAAGCAAGGTTCGTTGTTAATTTATAATTCCGTAGAAAATTTTATTTTCACGAGTAATAGCTTTTCCGTCGAACTTTCTTTTGTAGGAATAATAAAGGTACTAAAAATTTGTTTGCTCAGTTGATGATTAATGGTATCATAATTCCATATTTTAGGTTCAGCTGTATTTCTATAGTTCTCTTTCCTGTTCACTTATATCAAACAGAACAAAGTAAACGAATGATGTCAATAGAATGACAAGAACAACAAAATAATGTTACGACTATAACGCATTACATTCACTTTTCCATAGTTAATTTCTTAAATATTTTATGCGTTTAGGAACACTCGATACAAGTTCAACATCTCAAGGTAGAGGCTCGCATGATTAGTTTGCTGTGTTTCCATACAAACAAGGTTCTATGATTTTAAACCTTTAGGTAAAAAGAGTATGGATATAAATAATTGTATTTCCAAGCTTCTTTTTTTTTAATTATACTGCGGCTGTTTATTGAAATTTTTCAAATTAGAATAATATTGTGATATTAAAACATTAACCTTTCTTCAACATCTTGAAACACCGTTATGACAACCTTGTGAAATAATTTCTTTCACTGTTATGCTCGCCTTACTGTAATATTACAGCAAAAATTAAGCGTAATATCATTCGAGTTTTAAGTAGACGTGATTATGTAGAAGAAATAAAGTTTAAAATACGAATTGCTTCACTTTAACGTTTGTACCAATCGCGAAAAGCAATTCCACATTTTCGTTTTAGATATAAGCGTGATTTCATAGTCGTGTATTACGAATAACGAATCGAACATATACGTTATTCTTCACCTTATTCCCGAAACGCTTTGAATCTTTATTAGTATCGTTTTCGTTGTTAAATTTTCTTAGCAATAATATATGCTTTAAAGAACGCATATCACGGTTAAGACGAACGCTGAAAAGAATAGCGTGATCGGCACAGAATGATGCCTGGAATTGGCAGTGTTTAGGATCACCCAAGGTGGTGATAACGATGGTAATGCCAACGGTCTTTCTGTTCTATGACTTTCTTGAAGAGTACTACCAGCCATGATCTGTGTAGTACTGAGATCGTCGTCACTTTCGGAAGAATCGAAATCCTCGAAACCAGCCACGTGTATTCTTCTCCCATTGCTGTTGCTATTCTTCTTTCTTCCTTTCGGAATAGGCTTCTTTCGAAGCTTCAGATCGGTGTTTTTCACGAAGGTACTGGGAGTTGTCTTTGCAATAAGATGCAGTTCTGGATCAAAAAAGGATTAGTTAAACATCTAATATGTACCAGTGAAAAGAGATTATAAGGTTCCATTTAAAAAACTAAAGGCGACCTTGATAAGTTTGAAAAAAAAATAACTTAGAAAACATATACTGCAATCAGACTGTAAGACCCTCTAAATCAAGGTATTTAAGAACAAAAGGAATATTGGTTCAGTAGTAACGGAAATAATTCAGATGATCAAGCTACGTTCTCCATCCTGTATCTATTCGCTTTCCTTGTCGATATGTTTAGGTTTGCTGAGCTCAAATCAGTGAGTGGTGGGGAATAATGAGAATAGTTCGTTTTAAATTAACCGATCGGATTTCATTTCACTTTAGCAATGTACCATTTTGATAGTTTAATCTCAAGATATTTTTTTCTGAAAATAATAAATATTTCTTATAGTTATTGCATATATGTATATCAGTTTCTTAAATGAAACACAACCACATGTTATTAAGTTTCGAAGAGGAAGGAGCTGTATTGTTAGACTGAATGATTTTTAGACGGCCATCATTTTGAGTATTTGTTATAGTTTCATTGTTAGATGAAAATATCTCGAGATTAAATTATCGGAATGACATATTGTTAGGGTTGTTAAATTTGTCATCTTGTGCTCTGTGAAGGTATAGAAAAAATATGTACTTTGAAGAGATTTTTCTTTTTCTCATTTTGTTCAACTTTGTCTTAAGTAGCTCTTTCATATATCTATGTATAAATAACGAAAATATTTATACAGAGTGTTCAGTCAGTCTTGGGAGAAAATTTAAGGTGTCATTCTAGAAGCCGAAATAATACGAAAATGAAGGATAAAAAAATTTCGTTTGAGGCTTCGTTTTTTAGTTATAAACGTTTAAAAATATCCCTGCAACCCTGCACACCTCCCTACAAAAATATATATAGGGCATGTCAAGACACGGAAGGTACAGTGATCCTCAAAACCAACGACATATGGCCGACACCTTACCTTGTACAAGTTGTAGAGAAAAGGGCAGTGACATTCAACGTTAGTAATTAAAAAACGAAGCCTCAAACGCATATTTCTTATTCTTGATTTTCATCTTGTATCGACTCCTAGAATCACTCCCTGAATTTTCTCCCAGGAGTAGCCGAACACCCTGTATTTGGTGGTACAGACAAACAGTACCATACGGAAATAGTGTTCGTACACCCTGTGTATGTTTATTCAGAGCTGCATGTCAATTGAAACATACAAGTCTTGGACGCTTGTCAACAAGAAATCCGTCATACAGCGATCACTTGAGAAACAAACGAGAGTCACTCTCGCGTTTCTGGGGTACCAGTGAAAATTTGAGCAATGAATTTAAGCATGTGCTTAAATATGGAGATACAGGCACTTCTATAACACGGTTTGAGAATTAGGGAAATACCCGGACAATATGGAACATAATAAGAGCTTTTAAAAGCAAAAAATATTTCATTTGAAATTAGGGAAATCCTCGAATAACACGGAACATAATAAAAGTTTTTATGTGCAACAGATATCTCATTTGAAATTTTTCATTCGAGCGTGGATGTCGTGTCGGGGGTTACCTGTATTGCCATTTCGTTCCTGCATTTAAACTTTAGCATTAATTAATAATTTGAATCACAATGTTCTCTTGAATATTCTATGACATTATTTGCATATTTGAAATCACATTGCTTGTAATGTTAGAAATAAATCGAAATCTTAGCAATATATTGTATAATAATTTACCTTGTAATCGTACAACACCATCCGCTTTTCCAAGAGCATTCACCGATGAACAAACGTATTCTCCGAAATCCTTTTTGTCCAAAGAATTAACAGTGAGATTCATCTGCCAAGAGTAATCATTCAATGCATATTCTGACATTGCATACTTATCACCGGGCACCAACTTTAGGCCTGTAAGGGAAACGAGAATACTGCGATGTTTTCAGTTTTATTAGGGAGCAATCTTTCAGGTGTACTGTTTATGTTGACATTTGTGTTATAACGTGACTAAACTTAAAAAGTTAATATTTATTGAATCGATTACAGTATAGCTGAATTTTGTGAATTATTTAACAAATATTCTTAAATTGGTACGTCTCAGTAAAAGTGAAAAAAAAAACTATTTTTGCATATTTCACAATTGAAAGTTTGTATTTTACACGTATTTTTAACTCTACAGAGTTATTTCATTGTTTTATTTTTTTTATTAATGCCGACAATTATGATTTTTACATTGTTAGTATTTGTTGGATTATTTCTAACAACACCCTATGGAAATAATCAAGTGAGGACAAAAATGTCTCCGGGTTATTTTAAACAAAGGCACTAAGACTTCCACCAGATGCATCTGGTGTCCGTCTTCGAGTCACTCACTGCACAATGCCATACCATAATGTAAACAGTTTCTAGGTATAAGGGGACCCCAACTTTCTTTTGGGTGCCCAGAAACAGTCCTTCAGAAGATTCAATAGAGTAAAGACGTTTCCTCTGAGACCGTAAATAAATCGTATATTACAAAGTTAAAAGACTATTTCATTCCATAACCCATTTCCAATAGTATTAAAGCATGATTAATTAAGCATAGAATTAAGTGAGTGAAATGTATTTATATACAGGGTGTCCCAATTTTTTTTTGACCAAACATTGTCAGTATATTCTATGGGCATAACGAATTAGGAAGGTAAAGGATCTGAGGTCGTTGAAGATGTTGAATGTAACCTTTACCAGAGCCATTTTTGTCTTGTATCATAGCAAGTTCGTTACCATTCCCTTCATATTTCGTATTTTTCTTATAACTTTTTGACAAAGCTTCAAATGACGTACATATGTTTATATAACATGTTTTTTTTTTTATTTATACCCACCGAACATACTGACGAAGTTAGATAGGAAAAAACTAGTATACAGGGTGTGTCCTCTAACTCACGTAAGTACCTAAAATGTCTGCGTTTTCTTTTATAACACGAAAATAGAACTGTAAGGAAGAAAGTTGGATAATCACCTAGAAAAGGAAGCTTTAACTCCAATGACCTTGACCTTGGGATGTGTTGTAGATGGGAGGGGCCTGAGTGACATGTGGTTCGTGGACGATCGTGGTTCAAAAGTTATGAGGAAAAGAAGATTGTGTATGTTACATTACATTTTCTCCAATATAAGTGGTGAGGCGAGTGAGGAACCTGTTTTATTTTTTTTATTAATACCGACAATTATGATTTTTACATTGTTAGTATTTGTTGGATTATTTTTAACAACACCCTATGGAAATAATCAAGTGAGGACAAAAATGTCTCCGGGTTATTTTAAACAAAGGCACTAAGACTTCCACCAGATGCATCAAAGTAGGGAGCGACGTTTAGGAGAAGTTCTGGCTGAACCTTCGTTTCCACGGCAAATAGAACGAACGCTGATGGAACGAAGTAAAAGTACGAGCGGGACGTTAACCACGGGAGACGAGTTTGAGAGAAGGAAAAGAGGGTGGAATTAAAGCGTCGCGGGTCAATTTGTTAATATCGTCCCACTCGAAGAGAGCTCTGTGCTCGGGGTAAATCGGGACTGTAACCGTTTCGGGACGACGTGGATTTTCGATTAAAACGACTCTCTCGAAGCAGCTATATAGGAAACGTCACCGGGGATTTCGATTGGCCTTCCGCCACAATGCCACCTCCCATCCATCTCGTATTCTCCGGGAGTTATTAAAAAACCTAGGGAAACGACGCGGCCGTCGTCCGTTATAAATAACGCGTTCGATTCTCATCGTGATTCGACGACGTGGACGTGAAGTGTGAGGTACGAAGGGGAGAACTACTTTGGAGGGAAGCACTCGAACGCAACTAGCTTTGCACACCTTAAATACGTGCCTGGGAACGGAGCCTCGTTATAGATCCTGTCGATATACCTGCTTGCTCTGATTTCAGGCACTTTGCGCGCTGGCTGTACGGTGTACATCTCAGCCTGCGCGAATACAGAGGACACTGGATGGTGCAGCGAGGATGTTTATACACAGAGAAAGAAGAAATAGAGTGTTTCCCTTTTGGTACAGAAATTGAATCTCTCTAGTTTGTAATTAAAAATGAGGAAGGATTGTAATTAATTACTGTCATTCGTGCAATTAAAAATGAATAATCGATATGAGGTGGGTGAGGAACGTCGTTGCACTGTTTTCACCTCAATTTATTAAAATACAAGTGTTATGGTCGGCGTACAATTTGTCCGGGAAATACAATCGTTTACTTTGTTAACTGTCCCGTCGGGTACGTCGCGATGGTCGGTAAAGGAGAAACTGTCCCGAGGTGTAGGCGTACTCGGTTTTTATATTGTTAGGACAGGGAGACAGGAGTAGCGATAGATAAAGATAGAAGTGGAGAAAGTGGTGGAAACGGAAAATTCGTTCGTCCTCGTGCGAACCTGGATGCCACATGTGCGCTTCTTAGGCCACTCGAGGACGAAAGCAATTCTTAACCCGGGGAGAGACAAAAGAACGGAAACTAAAATCTGAAGGAGTTGGAAAAGAGAAAGTTCGCGTGGAAGAATAGAACGAGGTTTGGTAAGGATTTGTTGACGACGACGTACCCGCCACAGTGGTTAAAAATGAAATTGCATATGCATTTACATAGGATTGCGATCCTAATAGTGGTAGGGTTTGGTTAGATTAGGTTAGGTTAGATTTTTTGCCGGAACTAAAATTGCCCCAAAATTGCAAACTTCGCTTTTTCATAACTTTTGAATCACGATCGTCCCACGCCTCGGACAAAGTGCACGTTAGTCGGGATTGGGATTGAGGCCCCCCTTTCCAGATAATTATCCAAAGATGTTCGATTCAAAGGGATATTTTGCTAAGCAGGCATCTTTTTCAATATATAATATATTTTACCTGTATTTCTGTACCAAGTATTCAATGCTTGTGGAGAAGCTTCAACGTGACATTGAAGGACGACATCACTCTGTACTGGTGCTGCCACCAGTTGATTCGTTACTTTTATCACCGGTTGAACTGAAACAAAATTATTCTCGTTTTGACGTACATATATTTTATACGAAAAAGAAGAAACGAGGTACTCCAATTTGTTTCTACTCTTATTCGAGTGTAGTGGCCAGAATATGTTTAACTAAATTGTATCCGTCGGTCGGTGCTGATCTTGCGTGGTCCGAAGAAGGCCGAAGTTCTCTTCAACAAGTTTGGATGGAAACTGGGTGACGGAACAATTGAAAAACGGAAACGAGGTGTCCAAGCAAAGGTTTATTTCTTTTACTGTATTTTTAAGCATAATATCATACCTATTTGCGTTTTTTATAACGATAAACTTTTTTTGGAAACGATCGTGTTACATACTGTGGGTTAGAAAAGTTAATTTATTATAATATAACGCTTACAAATTAGTTAATAATTAGTTAAATAAAATTTAAACCAAAAGTCTCTGTACGCATAAACATATTTAACTTAAATGGTCAAAATTTTGCATTTTGATCACCGTTAATGATCCTTTGGCCCTAAGTACTTTTCTCATTCATTTTTATATGGGAAGAACTAATTTTGCTATAGTTGAAGACTCAATTTTTCTCCATTCTTTTATTATAATAATGCATATTTTAGTCGTTTCTTTCTTCTTCCATAACATTTTTTAACGCTTAATATATCCTGTAAATGCTCTATTGGGTTTAAATCAGAGAATTGTGGGGGTGTATGAAGCTGTTTCGGTACATTATATAGCAACCACTTTTTAACTTTCTTCGCGGTATGTTGGGGTAGTCACTTTGTTGGAAGATAAACGATGGACTAAGATTTAATTTGTGTATACTGTTATGCAGATTATTTTTCAAGTTGTTCGAATAAATGTAATGGTTCACATTGCATTCGAATAAGCATAAATAGCATAATGTTGTAATTGGAAATAACTCTTGTTAAAGTAATAAAATGTCTGGATCTCGTTTTTCTCTCATTGCTTTATACACATTTTAACCAATTATGCATTAATTCACCGAACTTATGTCAGGTTTTCATGGTCTTTGCATCACTGTGCGACGTTAATAGCGTGAATCTGCACGTTCATAGTAACTAGGGGTAAATATAATAGTATGTATAGTGCCTGGCCGTTTAAGCAAGGTCACATAAGTATTTAATTATAAATCTGAATTTAGTAAATTTAAAGACAGAATCAGTATAATTAGTTTTAAATGACCCTAATAGTCTAAAAATAAATATAATTTATTAAGAGAAGATCAAGGATCCAGAAAAATTTACAGAATTAGAGTCACAGACGACGCGCGACGTACAGGATAGACTTACGTAACATCTTATGGGACTGGGGCCGAGAAGACCCTTACCATTTTCGTATCGCTCCCAACGTTACCGATTCAGCGTAGAATAAGATTACAACAGTAGTAGTGATTGGAATTAGAACTACCTCGTCTGTGATATAACGTACCAGATTTTTTTCCCAGATGTCAATTATTACTTTGAGATGTTCCCTTGTTAGGTAATCGGAAGTTTGACTCGATTTTTTAACAGTTTAACGTTTAATATATCAATAATTGTGCTGAGTTTAAAAAGAATCTGTGACATAGTGGCAGAAAGTGTTTAATTTGACATGAAATGTTTCGTACACAGGATACTCGAAAAGAGAACCGTTGACCGAATAGTCCCGAGCGTTGACGAACGCTCCCGACCACCGTTCTTAAACGCAGCGAGAATCATGTGCGAAACGAACGTTTATGTTGAAAACAATTGTGTTTCTGCAAGTTGAAAGTGAATACAAGTGATATTGAGAAGTGTATGTCGTTGATTTATTCTGTAATTTTGTGTTTTATGTGGATCGGATTGTCGAGTACTTAACAGCAAAGATTGACATATATAAAACGTCTGAACGTTTCAAATACTGAAACTTGTACTTCGAAATTTGTACTGCCAAACACTTTAAATAAGGTGTTTCATGTGACAATAGAGATATTTTAAAGGCTAAAAGTGATTACTGCGTAGTTTAGATAGTTTCTCTCGAGAGTACTCTCAAATTGTGTCCAGGTTTCTGACAGCACTCTCAGTACTGATAAATTTGACTCTTGAGAGCAACTCGCGATAGTTTTACTCTCAAATAGACACATACCTTAACATTGATCAAATTAGCAAATTAAGACGTGGACATTAATTGTGTTGGAGATTATTGAGTTTTTGAGCAACTAAAATGTGTTGAAGGAGCTTTGGGGTATCTGGACGATTAATTTATTTTGAAATTTTCGATTAAGTGAGCTGTTTCGAATAGTGAGGTTACCCCCACTCCTATATCCAGTTGCCTAGCAACGACATGTTGATTCGTCAGTTACTTCTGGACGTCGTAGAGAGTGAACGTAGTTACGTGCATGTTAAGAAGGTATTATTATAAATTTAGTTAATCAATCTCTAAGTGTCTCTAATCGTTTCCTTTAATTAATACTTGTGTAATTCTTCTTAAATTAAGCGTTTGTTTATTTTGTTACAGGTTTTTGGCTATGCTAAAGCTTCGAAAAGAACGAACGTTCAACCGACGCAGTAACGACGCCACGACACCTCGTATTTGAAATCGACTGAAGTGGCGGGAAATTGGCAAGAGCAATTTGTTCCAGCAATTATGTAAGTAGACACATAATCCTTTAATTTATTTAGATCGCTGCTGAACGGCTGGGACGTGAATAGTTATATAAAATCGAAGAATATTTCAATCGCTTTGTCGTGTGTAGCTTCGACGTGAAGAATATACGATATCGCGAAACTTGTGTTTATAAAAACTCGTAAATACTGGCGACCCAGCAGTCGACCGAACACGGCTGCCTCGAAGCATAGTTTTTCTATGTTAAATTCTCAGAATTGTTATTCGCATTGAATTTCCGAAACACGCACAAACTTGTCTAAACTTGTCTAAGCGTGCTCTACCCCCACCACTCGGTATGTTGCGTTCGGTCGTAGAGGACGATGTTACGGGGGGGAATTCATTCGGTTACTGAACTTCGAGTCGACAGGACGCGTTGTTCACATTCGCATATTCTATCATTTCTGGTACTTATCCTAACGATTATTACACTCTCTTACTACTTTTGCCTAATGAATTAATACACTTTTCTTCGATACCTTATCTAATTATCACAACGGTCGAGAGCAACTATTTTATTTTTTTTTTTTTGCATTCAGTTAGCCTTGAGTCATATCATAAACTTCCACAATAGAACTCGAATTAAAGTAATCATTTAATTACGACGCAATTTCGTTTCTTTACAATACACATGTTATAAATTAATATTTTTCTTCTGTTAAGATATCTGGTTGACGAAGAGAGAAAAGAGAGAAAGAGACTAGTCTCAGGGTAACGTTTATGGGTTTGATGGGTTATTACAAAGCCGATCGTATGTATATATATCTTTTTTTTTTATATCATTGATTTTACGTGGGTATGTAACAATGTATGGTAATACATGGTACACATTTATTGCATAATTAAAGGAAGGTATAACTAAGTATACTTATATAAACGTTACAATTAATTGAGCAATATAATAAGATGCAAGAAGAACAGATTAAGCTTCTTTCTTTCGGACGTAATTTATTTTTATATAATTGAGAAAAGAATTCGTGGCTTGATCATTTCAAACTTTGCTTTGTAATATGGGATTTTTAATTATATAAAGTCGTTTGATTTTATTGAAATAATTTGCACCTTTTGCTGCATTTCGGTCGCGATATTTTCTAATTTGTAGAGTCATTAATATTACTTTTCCAGTCTTTTTACTATCCCTATATCGAGTTCAATCACCGACACATACAATTTTCGTCGCAAGTTTAAATATTCTCTAAAATCATTTACGTAGAAGTTCGGTTTAGCCATGGAATTTTACTTCGTACAAACATCTTCGAATATTTATAAACCGCGATATATTACGCGATTCTTAACATAGTAATAATTGCTAACTCTAATAACAAACATTTTTATTTTTTTTACTTTTCACAAATTAATTTCATTGTGTCGCACTATTCGGTACTGCGACGTAAAATAATCTTGATAATTATTGATATTTGCGTTAATGTAAAATGTGTAGTCACCTAAGTTTTTCCATTTCACCAACAATACAGTATTTTCTTGACGAACACTCGGTACGAAAAAAAAAGTAAACACGCCCCCCTCCTCCCTGCTAACGAACAGTTTTTATTTCCAGAGATGTTGACCGCGCGCAATGCGGTCGGTAGAGTCAGTGTTTTTTGCGTACAAGGTTTTTTTCTTGTTTTTCAGAGCAACACAGCTCTTAAAGTAGACATATGTACTAAATTCACAATAAATTACGCGAAGGTAGAGTCAGTGATTTTGTTCGCCGGTGGATATATACACGGTCGCGTTATTAACTTTTTATTTATTTTTTTATTGCTGAAATTCGTTACCGGTATTAGAGTCAGTGCATCACTTGAAGAAACCATTCGACGGAGCTCTCAGAGCTGAAAATGTAAGTATCTATCAAAATAAAAGTTTAATAGTTTGAATCTTTTTCATTTAAAGAGTTGTTAATTCTTAAATTCTTGAAATGCCTATATGTATCTCTGTTTGAGTCAAAATTACAAGAATTTCAAAGTTCATTGTAGTAAATAGTACTGAAAATTTTGAAATAATAATCTCGTTTTTAAGAACAAATAATAATATTCCGTTCTTTTACAAAGTGTTACAGCCTGCCTCAACTGTGGTCCCTATGGTGCCTTCCTGATGACTTCCACGACAACTTCTGGTGTGCAGTGGCATCCTAGATGACTTCCTCTTCGCAGTGGCGGCCTAGATGACTTCCTCTGGGGGTAGCAGTTTGCTGTGGCAGCCTAGACGACAGCTTTAACTCAACGAACTGTGAGTCGCATGCGTTTAAGTTCCTCTGGTCGCTCAATCATGTCGTAGGACGATTGGTCCGAATCGACACGGGTGACTAGTTGTAATTACGTAGTATCTTTTGGACGAGCACAGTGACCGCGGGTGTGAGTAACAACTCACACTC